ACGTACGGGGCATCTTTGATCGTCATCAAGATCTCAGCCCGCTTCGCGTTTAAGGGTGTGTAGTCCGTCCGAGCTGCTAAGGGAGCTCGGAACGGATGGCTCGGCTTCGTCTCCCAGGTTGGATTTTTCCTTCTTCTGTCATCTGGGTTGGAGGGCTCGCCTTCCTTCTTCCTTTTCTCGATTCCGCTTTCGGTCCTTTGGTTGATCTCCTCCTCTGTTCTCATGAATTTATTCGCGAGCTTGAGGAATTCAGCTACGGTCGCGGGCTGGCTAACTACCATATGCCACTTGAACTCCTTATGTGTCATTCCTCTCTTGGCTGCCGCGAGCTGCACCGCGGGGGCCAGTCGTGGTATCTGCAAGCACGCATCATTGAACCGCTCGATGTAGCCCCGGATGGACTCTTCTTCCCTCCGGACTACTCCGAAGATGCTCTCCTCGGTTCTGGGGCACCGCTTGTTGGTAACGAAGTGCGCGGTGAAGACCTGCATGAACTGGGTCATGCTTCTTACTAATCCAGGGGCCAGGTTCTTGTACTAGGTGCGGGCCACCCCTCTGAAGGTGGTTGTGAAGGCCACGCACATGCATGATTCACTGGCCCTTGCCAGGTGCATTTGGGACTGGAAGGCATCGACGTGGTCGTTGGGGTCGAAGGACCCATTATACTAGTCTAAAGGGGGGAGTTTGAAATCTCTAGGCATGGGGATTGCAAGGAGTTCTGATGAGAGGGGGGAAGGGACTGAGAGAATAGGGGCGGCTTTTACCTCGTTCGAGCTTGTCTCTTCTTTACCTTGGAGCTCGGGCAAGACACGGGTGGTAGTTCGACGACTTCGCCGACGTCTTCGTTGCTGAGTGGGCCTGGTACTGGCGCTGCTGGCCTCTGTGTTGCCGAGCTCGATGGGCCCAGACTGTTNCTTCGTTGCTGAGTGGGCCTGGTACTGGCGCTGCTGGCCTCTGTGTTGCCGAGCTCGATGGGCCCAGACTGTTGGTAGTCCGCCACTAGGACGCTGAATCGGTTCTCTGTGGGCGGGAGCTCAGACTTGGAGTGTCGAGGTGTTGACTTGGCGGGCGAGGTTCCCGACTCGCCGGCGAGTTGCGAGGCGGGGGTGATTTTTCTTTCTCCCCGGCTCGGGGATGAGGCCTGGCTCTTAGGGGGGTTCTGAAGTTGGGAGGCTTCTCCTCGTTGATGGCGTCCGCCCTGAGGGGAGGGCTTAACCGGCTTTGGAGCGGGGTGCCGAGGTGGAAGCTGTAGTTGGTTCAGAGGCAGTTGGGGGAACTGCTGCTGATAGTGATACTGAGAGATGTGGGGTAGTACTTGGTGCTGCTGGAGCTGATGCTGCTGGAATTGCTGCATTTGGGCTTGCATTGCCCGCATGCACTGCATCAAGTCATCAAACTGGTTTTGGCTAGTCGCCAGGGGGACAACAGTTGGTTCGGTAAAGGTTGTCTCGATAGGGAGGGGAAGGGGGACGTTCATGGTGGGAAGGTTCACAGGCGCCACTGTTCGTGGCGCATTCAGGCTGGGGATCCCATCCACCGAAAGGGGGATGGTGAACTGTCCGATGCACACCACGGGGACTTGAAGTTGTTCCTCGGTGGCGTTCATCTCCATGCTACATCCGACATTGCTGGAAGAAGCCATGAGTGTTGGGGTTTCTTGGAAAAAAAGGGGTTATGAGAGTTTTAGAGGGAGGCTTTTAGAAGCGTTTTCCCACAGACTGTGCCAATTGATGGAGTGCATTCCGGCCGGTCCTAACTGTCAACGATCTTGCCTCTGGTTGGAGCAAGAGGTGCCTGAAACGGAGAAGAAAGCGAGTAATCTTCGGGGAGGAACCCGGTAAGAGTGCTTCGAAGCTCAAGTTAGTATTTCCTCAAAGGCAAGATAAAAAACCAGATGGCGCAAAGTTATCACATACCTCTGCACTTCTGCCAGTTCGGGTGTCATCACCTCTGCTGGGGCAGACAACCGCCACTGCTCTCTTTGTCGGAGCCATCTCTGTGACTGGAGGTGGCGGTGGCAGGTGGTCGTTGAAGTGCGGCTATCAAGTGTCAGATCCTAAGTCAGTTAGGTGCGCCGCCTTAGGATACAGACTCCTTTGGTGTCAGGTCAGGTACGGTTGTTCAGTTCGGCGTCCTGGAGATGAAGTGCTGGAGTGGTGTGCGAGGTAAAGTCTTGAGTTCGGATAGAGGTGTGGCCCGAACTGCCCTGGGGCGGGCCAGTTCACAATTCGGGCCAGTTCGGGTTGTTGCCCTTTGCGCTCCTCATAAGGCTCGAGGTCAAAGGGAGAGTTCGGGCTCCTTTTAGGGAGCTCGGACCGCTGGTCCTCCTCTCGGAGCTCACGCCTTGAGCGTACTGCTGTGCCGAACTATTGCTTATGCCACGTAATGATGCTAACTACTTAATTACATGTTTTTACTTTCCTTACTTTTATTTTATGACCTGCATCATCCTTATAATACATGTTGGAGAACAGAAAATGATGGACATGGACATGAAGGGCCATCGATGTCGGGTCGGTGGTGGAGAGTTCACATCAGCGCCGCACAAGTAACACGAGCATAATTCTTTGGTAGCTAATAAGTTTTGTTCCAGTGCAGGTTGTTTGCATTTGGATCAAGATGAAACCAGAATTCTCATAAAAAAATATTTCATTTTTTTTTACAATATTAATTATTATTTCTTCTTTTTTATTTCCCATGAATTCTTGTTGTGCCCTCTTATCGATTTTTCTTTCTTAATGTCTGTCTTAAGACCTGCATTTAAGAAATTAAGCTTCATAAATACAAATATATGTGTGTAGGTTTTAGTAATCAAGGTGTGAATTTTAAGAAACCTATTCAAACTGATTTACTTCCATTACTTTAGACTCAGTTTGAAAGGAGTATAAATACAAATAGATGGAACAAAATCTTATATTTTTTATTATTTTATATATATATTCACACTTTATATATTTATATTTATGAGCCTTAGAATAGAAATACAATAAAAACAAAGTATAAATCAATTCACAGAGAAGAATATGGAGAAGGAGATTCCTCAAAATGGTTCTATCATTGGACGGCTTATTTTATTTCTTCCTCAACCTTATTGACTCAAAAGCCTGCGGGCTGCAGGTATCCAATGAAGCAAATAAGACGAAATGAAGAGTTATTCAATTATGTCGTGATTTCGATCAGTTTTACCCGCACACCATACAAAGCAATCTCTGTTGGGAAGGGTTGAACTTGAAATTGTAATAGGAGTATAGTAGATAGAAGAATAGATAATTAATTAAATGAACCCCCAGCTTTGGTAAAGTTCTTTTTAACAAAATGACAGTTAATATATGTTATTTTTGAATCTCTAAAATCCATTTTGAAGTAGTTGGGTATAAACCTGGATAAAAAGAAAGTCTCTTGGGAAACACTTACTCAGACGATTGGATTGAAGTTGGGTTCAACTTCAAGGTTAAAAAATATATATGAACCTGATTTAATTTTGGGTTGGGTTGGGTTAGGATTGAGTCTTTACCCCAACCGAAATCCCACATATGCGCCCTTTTATAGTTTTATGTATAATAATGCTATTGTGAATTTAGATCTGATTCAAGAAAATAAGAAAATATTAATTCATTAATTTCTGGTTCAAGAAAATAAAAGAATATAAATAAATTGGGACAAGATGAAGTCAATTCTCATCGGGCTTTACTATGGTTGGGATTCAAGAATTCGGGTTGGATTAGGGGTGACTTCAACGGGACCTAAATTGGACCGATTAATCCTAATCCTATGGTCGGATGGAGTATGGCCTAAATTTGACCAAAATTGGCTGATACCAAGTTTAGATATGCTACCAATACTGTTATTACTGTCCCAATAAGTCATTACAGTTGAATGTTGGTAACATCTCTCCATCAATGAGAAGGTGAGTTTTCCAATGTGCGCAGTTGCAGAGGCATGTTGCGTTGGGAGTGTTTTGTTGGTAGCAGATCCTTGCGGTTGATATATAGGTAGAATACAAGGTTGTAAGTTTGGATTGGCTTCCAACATACAATCCCAACCAGTCATTGCTACCATACATCCCATGAATGATAAGGGAGATGTATTCCTTTTGGTTCACGGGAATGGCCTATTCTGATTCTAAGATAGATTCAGAATTCCATTTTCATTGCAAATATAATAGATGAAATTACAGCGGCGCCCCATAGCGCATCTCAATCATATATTGGGAGCATCTCTCAATGATTTTGATTCTAACTCGTGCGGCTGCATTGGCCTGTTGGAACAGACGGGAGCGTTTAGTTGGTAGCATATGCGGATTGCAGCTTAGCCGCAGGGATTGTGTAAAACGCTGTCGTCACTGTCCATGAGTTCCACTTCCATCCCCATCAAGCAAAAACAAGCCCTTGTTTTATTTATTTATTTATTTTTATTGGCGTTCACTCTCCTTTGCCGTCGTTGCGAAATTGCAAATACCTGGGTCGGAAGGCGGGAAAGGGATCCCCGAATCCAAGGCTCAGCTTTGTAAAGGCACGATGAAGCTCCAACAGCTACCAAGGAGTCCTGCAGCGATGGCCATGAAAAACGGTCTACTTGTGAGGGCATTTTCAAACTCTTCTATGGTATTCATCACTCATCATTCTTCACCTTAAAGATTTGTTCTGCGATCAATATTTTCTGAATTATTTTCTTACCCAAAATCATATACATGTTGACATGTATGTACTGTGTATCCTCCATTCTGTCTCCATCTTTTTTTAATGCCTTTTCTTATTCTCCTAACCATTCTACAGAAAACAAAGAAATGGTTATGACTGACTTATCTAAAGCTAGGATTTCATTTAGACTGGGAAGTCACGACCATGACTTCAGTTCATCTGGGAAGTCGAGTTTAAGGACTTGTAGAGAAGATAGCTATAGAAAGTAAAAGAAAAGAGTAAGGTTCTCTTCATGCATGCGCTGAAGATGTCTTGATGATTGGAAAGTTTCATCAAATAGTAGCTCCAGAGAGGAAAACCATGACCCGAAATGTCAATAGATTAAACGAAAGCAAGATGGTGTTCAGGCCATTCTTGGATGAATATCCTATTGATGTTGCCTTGTTAGTAAGGGTGTCAATGGACCGGCTTTGGATTGGACCTCATCCAGTCCAACATCAATTTGGACGGATTGGATGAACCAACAAGACATATTGGATTGGACCAATCCGGTCCAAAATATTTATTAGATTGGATTGGACCTGGTCTGTCCATAATAAATTTAGATTGGATTGGGTTGGATTAAGTCAATATATGGTCCATTGATATAAGATAAGAATATAGGTGTCAATGGACTAGGTTTGGATTGAAACCAATCTAAATCAAAACGAATTTGAACAGATTAGATGATCCAGACATTGAATTGGACCGATCCAAAATGGTCCAAAATATTCATTGGATTGGATTGGACCTGGTCCATTTATAATGAACTCACATTGGACTGGATCAGATTGGACCAAATCCAGTCCAATTGACACCCCTACTTGTTAGTTCATATACTCTTTGGATATGTTTTATCATTTATGATGACAACTTGATGGTTTTTAAATCCCAATTGTTTTATTTGGTGGTGACTTTTCAAATTTCATTAATTATGATGAAGAAATAAAAACATATATAAATAAAAGAACGGGATTATAAAAAGGTGACAAGCATCTTAGAAGCAATTTAGGCTAGCAAAATCCACAATGCTTATATTTTCATACGGTTATGTTTTTCCTACTGGTACCCCCCCCCCCCCCCCAATACGACTAATTCCTAGGCATGCACTCATGCCCTCTCTTGCCATTGCCAATGCATCAGGTTGTTTGCTTTCTGATATCAACCTCAGCATCCTAACCATGTTGAGGTTGGGTTATGGGTTTGTCAAATTGTGGCCAGGATTTGAAGCTTAGTCTAAAAGTACCCGCATTTCTATCAGTGTCTTTTTGGTATGTCTGTATGGGCCAATATTCTTTGCATAACAAAAATATGCCAATATCCTTTTCAACATAATTTTGAGTTTCCATTGAACGATGGTGCTCTTTGCCTTGATTCATGTCAAAGTTTTATTAACACTTGAGCTTTATCAGCTCATTTCTTTATTGCCTTTATGTCCGTCTTGCACATCGTTATATGTTTTTTTTTTTTCTTTTGCAGTTGTTTAATGGCCATGCTTCAATTTAGGGTTTTAAGTATTTGGTGTCTATCTTTCATGTCAAAGTTTTATTAACACTTGAGCTTTATCAATACATTTCTTTATTGCCTTTATGTCCATCTTGCAGATCCTATATGTTTTTTTTTTTTCTTTTGTAGTTGTTTAATGGCCATGCTTCAATTTAGGGTTTTAAGTATTGGTGTCTATCTTTGACATGCTTCGTCCATGTAAATGATACCACCTATTTGGCTATTTTGCTACATTGAGGGGTCTTGTGGATGATTCAAACTGACCATCAGAGAGGGGGCCCAGTGGATTAGCCACATGTTCAATCCCGCATCTATTTAAACCCTATATGGCTATACCCAACCTTGTATTGGAGTCTTGGTCAATGTATTATGGCCTTCAGTATTTTCAATTCTTTAATGTAGAAGTTTCATAAAGAGAGGTTCCTTTTGAACATATGGTAGGTCTTTTGGCCATAATTTTTTTTCCATGAATCAAGGGTGGGAAGAGGAATATAGAGACTCCTTTTGAGCTCCTAAATAATTTTTTACCTTGTGGAAAATTCATTGGTTGTTTTGGGGATATTGCTGTACACCTATGTTGACTCTGATAGAATTATTATTCTAAGATGTAACTAACAGTTGACAAAATGTTTACTTTCACCAGGGCACCCCCAAGCTGAAGCAGTGTGGTAAAGCCTTTATTTCAGATTTGCTTGATAGAAGATGGGCACTGCTCAGTCCAGATACTAAAATTCATCAAATAAGATTATCAGGTATTCAAATACAGCATGGAGCAGAACCATTTGTCAACTTTTCCTTTTCAAACAATACAGCGCCACCTTTAGTTGATGACTCAATGGAAAAGAACGACCAAGATCCATTCTTTTATGTTCTTAGGGATGATTTATTGCATCCCTTGGTGAATGGTAATAAAGCAAGGAAACTGGATACATTACTTCCGCTTGTTGAAGATCATTCAGTCACTGATGTGGTAAGATTTTATTTACCTTGGTGCTTAAATTGTGGATTAGAATATCTTCTCCATGGTTTAAAGTATCGGGGCGTATTGTATCGTATCTTTTGAAAACGATACGGTCCGAAACGCCTGTTTCCAGGTGTTTCGGATCCCCAATTTTTTTAATAATAAAAAGCATGCTAAAAGCTTCCCAAAAAACCAAAATTTGGAAAAAAAACTAAAAAAAATAGAGTTTCGGCCGTTTCTAAGTGCTGATACGATACGGCCGAAACTCGTATTGTATCGATACTTTGAATCTTGATCTTTTCTAAGCTTCAAAACATTCTCTTCTCCCCTCACTTTCTTAGACCTTTATGGGTACATATATATAGATATACATATACATGTGCGCATGCATACACACCTTTGCACCCTTCTTCAAGGAAACCTACAGACCCATACCAGCCATGGAATTTTTGATGCCTGAAAAGTGTATGTTTCACTAACCATAATTCTTTACTCTTCCACATTTCTTGGATAGCACATATATAGGAAAAGGAGCAAGATAAGTTAAGGTATTACCGTATTAGGCAGTTATGCACATCATGTAATGCTGTTCCTGGCGCATTATATCCAGTAAAATGTGGATTTCACTTCCTAAAACGTGTTATGAATAAAACACCTACTTTATTTTGTATTGAAACAGACACCACTACCAAGTAATTTTCATTGTGTTTTAGGCACATCCAGGTCCAAGTAACACACTGTTCGGACATTTCTTAGGTTACATGTGGAGGTTGTCAAAGTGCACATGCAGCAGCTGTTGGTAGGGATTTGATGCAGTTACTTTGGAAAATTTTCTGAAACCATATTCCCTTGAGAAACCTTACGTTTATTCAGTACAACAAGACCTAAAGTAGTTTCTGGTTGAAGATTGACTTTGCATGTTGTTTAGCTGTTTCTTGTGCAGAGAGAGGATTAAGGTCACATTTACTTCTGCGGGGAGAACAGCCTGAAGTTGTGACAGGATACAATCTGATATCGACAATGTATGGAGACACTACATACATTCCAAGACATCTATACACAAAGAGGGAAGAAATGCTAAAAGGGCATGCTGATTTGGTAGCTGGTAGCAGTGGTTCTGTTGTATGGCTCAGTGATATTCTGAAAACATCTTTGGTTTCTTGTAGTTCTGAGGAAGGAAGTTTTGTACAAGCAAATGCTTTCCAAAGGAACTTCACATTGCTTGAACCTGAAAAGCGCCCAAGAAAGGTTGTTATTGTTAATGAAGGTGCAGGGGATGCCATTGCACTGCTAGGTAGGTTGAGTTCTAATATCTTTGGGATTAAGTGTTAATATGTGTGTGCATGGGTTTAATGTCTATGCATATGTTAATATGGCATACATGCATGTGCATACAAATCCAACTCTTTTCCCTTTTCAATATAAAGTGTGAAAAAATGTTTGTTGCCCTTTGGGGATCAGAAATCGTTTATAAATATACATGTTTATAAGTGTTTTTATCCCTTTCAAGCAATCAGGTCTGTTATTTCAGTTAAACTGTTGGAAAGGTTATGCTAAGAGTTTTCAATTCCTATTTTATCCCTTTTAGGCAAAGGCATCTATTAGTTCTGTTAAACTATTGGAACCTTTATAGGATGGGAGTTACATTTTCTGTGAAATGTCCTGTCCCATTCAATTCCGGATTGGAATTCCCTTTATATGCCTTTTATGAAGTTAGGGCATTGGTGGAAATATGGGTATCCGTAGAATTTTACATAAAAAGGAATATGTTTTTGTTTAGTTCTTCCTTTCTTGTTATACAACTTCATAATCATGCCAAAAACTGGTTTTCTTTTGGCCTTTGAACATGAATTTCCCAAAAGGGAAACAACATTTGATTTTCCTTATAAAAAAAGACATTTGATTTTTAAAACAGCTTCTCTCTGACAGGTATCATTCGCCTTGTTGAGTATCTTTCACAAACTCATTTATTTGGAAGAGACCAACCAATGAAATTTATTGTAGATGCTGGTACTGGTACAACAGCCATTGGTTTAGGGCTTGGAGCCATATGTTTAGGGTATGTTTCAGTTTGTTAAATATATTTTGCATTGAAACTTGAAGAATTTTTGGATAAGCAGAGTTTCTATAGAATCATCCAAAAGAGCATCAAGCAGCCTAACAATTCATGTTTTCTGTCAGTTTGCCATGGGAAGTAATTGCAGTGATGCTGGCTGATACTATTGAAGGCTACAGGAAACAGGAAAAGCGATTGATATCTGAGTTCAAGATGCTTTGTTCTGTACACCTTGTTGATCATCCACTAAATGAAGTTGATGGTGGCATTGTTAATTGGGTAGAACGCAGTCATCCAAGAAAGTAAGTAAAGTGTCTTCATCACCATCACTCATTTATGTATAATCTAGAGTTTCTTCTCAGCACTTTCATATATGCTTAGTGTTATGCCTTCTGAAGTCTATGCCATCCATGTATTGTTTAGAAAACATCAAATTTTCCATGATTGCCATATATATTTATTTATCAAATAATAAAAGCCCATGATCAATTATCCAGTTGTGGTAAAGAAATAAAAAAAAAAAATCCTGTTGTGGTAAAGAAATAAAAAAATCCAGTTGTGGTAAAGAAATAAAAAAAATACCCAGTTGTGGTAAACATTGATATCAATCATGTCCATGTGATGCACATTCATTTGTTGATTTAAGTATCAAACACAGTGGTTAGAAGCATCTCTCTTTCTAGGAAAATTAGGAACTGGCTGTTATAGTTAACATAGAATCTTGCTTATATCAGGTACTTTGATTTTGGTGTAAACTTTTGTTCATGTGGAAGTGGATTTAATTCATGTTATTTAATAGAAGTTGACTGATTATAGAATTATGAAAACCAAGGAAATGCTGTGAAAATGTTTGAAATGATAAAGCTTCAGAAAAGATTTAGTAGGCAATAACAGAGTTAATGATTCTGGTGTACAACCAAAACAACTATTTAAAATAGGAAACATAAAATATAGTAAGTGATGTATGTCATTGCAGTTTATTAAGGTAATGCATCCTATTCACAAAATCGGTTGAAGTTTTCAAATATTTTTAGTCCATTGGTTTATGGTTTTGACAGAATGTCTCTTTTTATTCTTTCTCCATAATTCTCATTTTAGAGTTTTGGTTGGAATATTTTCACATTTTAATCAAATTCATGTATTTTTATGCTATGGTTGTGGTATTGGATCAGAGCAATCAAAACTTACTGGAGTTTGGCAAAAAGTTAGAGAAGTTTGACCTAAACCAAGGTTCAAAATAGTGATACGCCCCAATACAGCAGAAGGGTGTATTGATGCTTTGAGCCTTACATTTTATTATTATTTTTTAGTTTTTTTTTTCAAAAATTCAGGATTATGCCTATTTTTATATGCTTTAATCATTAAAAAACACCTTTAAATAGGTGTATTGGAGGGTGTCTAATTTATGTGGTTGAACCTTGTTTTTTCTCATTTAAGGGGCTAAATTTTGATGATGAATTTTATTTTATTTTATTCTCTTGCTTTGCCTTGAAAGAGAAGTGCACTTCACTGGCAAATTGAATGCCTAGGACATGCATGTCTAGTGTGTGAGTATGCAGCTTGGAAATGCAGTAAATTTCCAGAAAATCATACTTATGACATGTTTCTTTCTCCAAGTAAATTTTGGTATTCAAATTGGTGAATTACCTTAGACCGCCCATGTAACTGTCATATGCTACTAGTGGAATTTCAAGCCATTTAAGCTCAATATGTTTTAACTGGAAAATATGCTCACTGATTAGTGTTGGATAAACTGTTTCCTGACATTATGTTTTACCATATCTGATTTAAGCCATCCCTTTTGCTTTTTTCCCTCTCTCAGTTACATGATAAGAAGCAGTCTATTGAGTGAATTACAGCAGAATACAACAATGAAAAATACAATTCCTACTCCCTACATCCAAAGAGATTAGGGTGAGGAAACCACAGTGCAGTGCAACATACAAATCAAAAGATAAATTGGAAGAATTTGATATATATCACTCCGTGGGCCTAACACCCCCCAATACAAACTTTCTTACCCACTCTGGGTAGGCTGTTTGCCAGGCTGTTGACAGACATTGCAATCTAGCTGAATGAGCAGTTCAATATATGCCAATGGTCTTGAACAAGTCGTGCAATACTGTCCATACTGTTCTTTCTGCTTTAAATTCTAGTTTGAATGAGCAGCTCAAACTATTTGTTATTTTATCTCTCTTATATATGCTTTGTGACTCTGAATGGCTTTGAACAAGTCTTGCAATACTGTCCATACTGTTCTTTTTGCCTTAAATTCTAGACTCTGACTATGTGAAATGATGAATGACATTATACAGATTCTTTGAGATCTCTCTCCTTTCTCTGTTAGTTAAATTGAAAATTTCTCCATATGTTTTTAATCTTTCAAGTATGTTTCTTATTCTCCAGTAAATAGTAGTTCGGAGTACTCAAATTATTTATGCAATGATACTTGGTTGAGATGATGCATTTGCTTTGACATTCTCTTGTGAAGTTTTCTACCTTAGGAGAAGATTTAGTGTTTTTTTCCAGATTCGGCAATGTCTTGAAGGGAGAAGTAGAGGCGTGCAGAAGAATTGCCAAGCAAACTGGTATTTTAGTGGATCCCATCTACACCTTGGCCGCTTGGGAACATGCATCACTCCTCTGTCAGGAGGAAACCAAAGGGGGTGCCAAAGTGGTAATGCTTCACACTGGGGGTACACTTGGCATGTTTGGATTGGCACAAAGATACAAATCTTACTTCCGGAGACTTGAGGGGCAGTTCCCATTTCCTATTGTATAGAGAAAACCTTAAATCTCATTGTATCACATATAAAGTTATGGCATGTTGAGTTCATATTCTGTCCATTTAAACACTTGCACCAATGTCTATTGTAATATATAATCTTGGAATGAATGGACTTTGTTATTGGAATTGAAGGCCTTGGTCACATTTGAATAATTGAATGTGATGGGCATTAGTTTCCAGTTCAATTCCATGGTTGGCATACTTGGGAAGAACATGGGAAATCTATATCTTTTGCTTTCGAAATCTATGCCATACTTTGGTCTCCTTTTCGTTGGGACAGTGCAACATTGTCCAGCAGTTTACTATTAAGTTCAGTTTAACTACTGGATAAGACATCATTGCCAACTTACCATGTCTGTGGAAACTGGAAACGAGTAGTGTCGATTGAGAATTTGAGATCCTGCTTGTAGCATCATATCTACGTGGAGCCTTTATCATGTGGCTTATCTGGTGTGCAAGAAACGGCCTCGTATTCATAGGGGTCCATTTCAACCCAGGTTCCATCATTGTCCGTGTCCAAGCTATGGTGGATAATGTTTTGGCTTCTGTTGATATGAGAGTGGTTCTGAAATCGAAGCTTGCATGTAGAGCCCGTTCGTTGGTCTAAGCCACCAGAGGGTGTGATTAAGATGAATGTTGATGGAGCCGTTGGTCCCTCATCTTCGGATGCAGGCACTGTCATCTCTCATCAGCAACAGTTTGGGAGAGAATGTCTCTATGCAAGGGCGGTACCTTTCCGGTGTGAGCCTCCCATTATAGAAGAGGCTTTGGCTCCTTTAAGAGGGGTTGGAGTTTGCTTTGGAAGTGGGGGTGTTTCACATTTTTGTTGAAAGCGATGCTCTCTCCTTGTTTGTTGGTGGATTCTTTAGAGCCAAGGTGGGAATTCGGATTTCATCCTCCAAAATCCATTCTCACTAGGGGTGCTTACAGTTCGGTTAACCGAATCATGGGCATTTTTTGGAAACCGAATTGGTCTTATCAGTTTTCACATTTTCTGAACTGAAACCAAACTGGTACCACCGGTTAATCAATTGGTAGGTTCAGTTTTTTACCAATTTGATTCTTCGGTTTTTTATATTTATAACATATAGTATATATATAATATTGTAATATATTATATATTATAAATAGATAATTATAAATATAATATATAGATAATATGTGACGTATATTAAAAATATATATAATATACTGATTGGTTTGGCTAACTGCATCTTTTGGTTCAGTTTTTTGATTTTTTATGAGCACCCCTAATCTTCACAGCCCTTACAGCCGTGCATTGAGAATATTCCATACTTGTATGTTATGAGATATTCCTAACAATACATAGGTGCAAAGGTTGTGAGGATGAAATCAAATTCCCATGGTGGTCCATGAGCATTTTGGTTGTTAAGTACAAACACCTCTTGCAATGCTTATCTGAGTTCTCAGTATCTCATGCGCCTAGAATTGCAAACGAAGAGGCACATTTAGTTGCAAAATTTTCTCCCTTGTTCCCGGGTGAAAACTGAAAATCTTGTCTCTTGTCCTTGATTTTCTTCATGAGACTATTGGAGATGTGCATTAAGAACATGGAAGTTTTTCCCCAAGGGACCTTCTAAAAATTAGGGCCTGTTTGATTCACATATAAGATCGGAATCGGAATCAGAATTGAAATCCCTAGGAATCAGAATCACCAATTCCTGATGCCTGTTTGTTTCTGTTAGAAAATTGAATTGGATTCCAATTGTTGTTGTTTGGATCATTGGAGGTGGAATTGAAATCAACTGAAAATTTTTAATTTTGTATTAATCAATTTATTATTTTATGAATATATATTAATAATAATAATTATATTTTATTAATAATTTATTATTCTATTGTATTTTCTTATCAGTTTATTAAAATTTTATTATTTTAAATTAATTTATCATTATTTAATAAATAATATCTTTGATTTTTATTATTAATTTATTAATATTTTAATTATTAACATATTCTTATTTTATTATTATTATTATCTTATTATTAAATTTATAATAATTTATTATTTAATTATTAATGCTTTATTATTATTTCATGAATTTATAATAATTATTATTATTTTATCATTTTAATTATATTTTATCACAATACTATTATTTTCTTACTGTTTTACTAATATTTTGTTAATATGTTATTATTTTATTGATATTAGGGTGGGGGGTTGTCATGAGTTCTTTACTTATTGACAGATTCTTGAGGGAATTAGAATTTCATGACGATCAAACAAATAGTCAGAATCGGAACGAGCTATTCTGATTCTGATTCCAAGCATCTATTTTAGGGATCCAAACAGACCCTTAGTATTGTTTATGTATTTTTGAAACAGGTTTATATATTTTTGAAATGCTATTTAGTATAATTTTATTAAATTAAAAGCACCCAAGTATTGGTTGGGGGGAGCTTCTGGATTCAGATGGTTCGTGGTTGAGATTATTCTTGTCAAATTGAAATTCCATGCTTATTGGTTAATATAGGAATTGGTTGTGAAGTTTTATTTTATTTTAGTTGTCCAGTCCATAGATAATCTTATAAGAATTCTTATAAGATCAGTTGTAGTAACTTCGTATCCCTTTCTTTATTATTATTATTATTTTTAAAAAAATGTTTCAGTAAAACAAAAGCATACAAACCAGCAGCAGAAACATGAAACCGATTAACAGACACGGAAAGATAACGAACCAAACAAAATCCGTGAACTGCCTCATTTCCTGACCTCCTCACAAAACAACAAAAGGAATATTGTTGCCACTACTGAATAGCTGCACATCGAACATCCTTAGAGAATAAAACAAGCTTCTATTACCCAGTTTACTTGTGGATTAACTAAGGTATTTAGCTAACTCCTCCGTGCAATTACTTTCCAACAAAGCACAAAGAACCGACGACACACATAAAATCCAAAACAATGGGTTGGTGCAGTTTTAAAGGGTGATGCTCTTATTTGTTTCAGACTGATTTTTCATGGTTTAGCATGTTAGCTAGGATAGGACTTTGGAGGGGTTCTATGTTTGAATATAAAGACACCCCTACATCACTGTCTTCATGGAATACCAATGAAAGAGAGAGAGGTCTTTGTTCATGATGTCACTCCAATAAGGGAGGTCTTACCCCATTTTGAAAAGAGAGGAATTATTCCAATATAATACTGTTTTTATAATCTATTGGGAATATATTCATATTTGTATTTTTTTATTCATGGAGAGATATTTTTAATGCACGGCTGCAAGGGATTGTAAGAACAGTTTTGTGGGGATTAAATTTGATTTCAAAAAAAAGGGGAGATTTCAGTATTTACCGGAAATGTCAGAGGGGGGCTTAATCATCCAAGTCTTTTACTTTTTTTTTTCTATTTTTCAATAAATAGAAAAATATACATAAATGGGTTAGATGGCTCAAATGAGTTTGGAACAGTCAGGTAGCAAATCAATCTTAAGTATCATATTTCATCAAAATGACATCATTTAGAGTATTACTTAAAATATAACAATTAAGAAAAATTAGGGAATTTTTTTTAAATTATTCTCATAATTGTCGAAAAAGATGAAATGTCCCTTTTGCCCTTATATTCTACTGGACCACTTCGACTTCAAAGTAAGGATATTATAAATTGTAACGATAACGATGGGGGGCGCTTCTCACAGGGCCTATTCTGTTTCTAGACCTAATCTTATCGTGAGAAAAGCAAACATTTGAGAAATTGTACGAGGTGGGAAGGTCGCTACGGTTCCAGCCTCGGTCCATAGAGACGATAATTTTCAGCAAAAGCTGCTTCACAAAGTAGATGAGGGACGACACAGAGGATTGGTGTGCCGACGAGAAGGTTCACTACAACTGCCTCGTTATTTGACACATGAAGTTGAGCCAACAACCAAGAAGCCAGGTCAAATGAATAAAGGTTCATGATGCCAAGTTCAAATGTGATGCTGGGGTCTTTGGCAAAATGGGTTAGAGAGAAGAAAAATGGGGAGTCCAAGTTCCTGAGATACAAAGAAGGGTTATCTCAACTGGGCTGGTTTTTCCGGCGAACTCCTGATATGTGAAGAGGGGAGGTGGAGAAGGAGAACAAGGAGGGAAAGGGGAGCGAAGGAAGAAGATTGTTGCCACTGCCGGAAGTTGCAATGACAGCGATGACTTTTGGCGTCGAAAAATAGAGGGAAAAGAGGAGGTCGCCTTCGGAAACTTAATTCCCAGTCTTTGTCCATAAGCACAAAAAACAGTAGCTAAAACCCTATTCCCGGTCTCAGAGTAGGAAGAGGAGGCTTGGTGAAGTACAACAGCTGAAAAATGGAAATATCTCTTTCAAGAGAATTTCATCCAGTCGGAACGGAATCGTTATCCTCGATCATATTTCGTTATTCTAGTGGCCGCTGCATTCTAGATTATCCCTATCTCCCTCTCTTTCCCTAATTCGGTCGTCTGATCCGGAGCTATCCACGGCGGAAAAATCTCGGTCGTCTAGCACAGTAATAACCCTCTCAGATCTGGCACATAAAATTTTGTTTGTCTTCCCGTTGGCAAGAGAGAATGCTCTGTTGAGAGAGAGAGAATTTGTTGGGGAAGAGGAGTAGGAAAGTGCCAATGCACCTTGGTTCCTTTTGACAGTGGTGTCACTATTGTTGTCTCTACCAGCTGCGGTTGAATTAAAGAAGAGTAGGAAAGTGAAGAGAAAAGGGATGGAGGGTAGTATGGGGTTTTAAAAATAATTTATAAGTCACATGACGTCACATGTGTATCACATATGTAGGGATTTTGAAAGAACATTAAGGGACGCTAAGGGCATCGGTAGAGTTAGTCAATTGTCAAAAACAATAAGGATAGTCTAAGATAATATTTAAACAGTAAGGGTATAATTTATCAATTAGCTAAATAGTAGGGGTAGTTTAAAAAATTTGGACTATGACCATGTTTGGGAGTGCTTATGTTAAAAATAAGTGCTTAAAAACAAGTGACTATTCAAATAAGCATTTATTTGCATTTGGCACCTAGATTATGAAAGTACTTTTATTTCCATAAAAGTGCTTGTATAAAAGTGCTTTCATAAAAGTACTTTTATAAAAGTACTTTCATGTGAAGTGTCTTCATAAAAATACTTTCCTAAAAGT